AAAAAAAAAAAAAAAAAAAAAAAAAACTTCCTTGATCCTGAAATCGATCAGCTTCTAGAAAAGCCAAAATACCTTTTTGAAAGCTCTGCGTTTGGTTTAGTTTCACTTTCTGGCAATTTACTATGCAATATGAATATGGGCTTGAAGCTTGATCTGTCTATTCATGCTTCTATGTGTTTATTTTCAAGAAATTGTTTATTAGTATGGATTAATTGTTGTTTTTTAAAGTTTCTGGGGACAATTTTTTTATATTTTAAATGTTATTGAGGATTGATTTTCGGAAAATGAATAATTTTATTTAGCTTCTAGGATCGAAAAGGGTCCCATTACTGGTCTTTGTTGTGTGTTTATATAATCTTTTATTTTTTGGGTTGCCTAACAATCAGGGTGGTATTGAGGATGGGGAGGAGCCTAAGTCTGTAGCCCTTAGGGAATTGCAAGAAGAAACTGGTGTAGTATCAGCTGAGATTATTGCTGAGGTTTGTAGAAAAATTTCTGCCCTTTTTCTATTGTTGTCTCATATTTTTTCAAGAATTGCAACTACCACTTTGGTAGGGGCACTGGGATTTTACTGCTATTTACATTTAGTGTTTGTGATTCTTTCAAATTTATCAAACTCCCCTAAGTTATGTGATACAAGCATTTGATGGATCATTTGGTTGATTTAGTGCTCCTGAAGGTACTCAACTATTCCTAAAATGATTATATCATCAAATTCAATCTTTGGGAGATTATTGAAAATAAAACAAAGAAAATAAGAGGTCAGGAAAAGAAAGACTACCACTTCACATTTTTACTCTTCATGTCCTGTGTTTCAAATGTATGAAACGAAGAGCTGTGCCGCATAGAATAACCTTGATGAAAGTCCAGGAAATGAAACAATCCATTTCATAATATAAGATATGTTGGAGATTTTAATTAAAAGTTACAAATCCATTATTTTCAAAATCAATTCCAGCCGGTTACAAATTCATTAAATCAATCTTGTGTCATTTACAAATTCATGCCTTCTTGCTTTAAGAATTGATTTGTGCGTTTCTAAATCAAATTCAAATATTTTAATATTACAACCTGTTGTTTTATTATTATATTTTTTGTAACCGGTGAGATGCATGATTTACTTATCAGCCTTTTCATTCTTGTAACCGACAAGATTTATTTTAAATTCATAACAGTCTCACACTTTATTTTCCAGTTACATTGTAAAAGCCTATAAATAGGCAGCCTCCATTTCTACCAAAAAGATTTTGATACAATTTTTATTATATGCACTCTTATTTCACAAATACAATATACAAACTCTCTTTAGGCAAGAAAAAGGTGGTGGGGTAGAGCTTTCTTTACAAGAGTGCAGTACTTATAAAGATACAACAAGGAGGTTGGACTGTTGTATCCTAGGGGTGGTGTAACTATAAGAATTTGCTGCACCAGTGGCACGAAACGTTTTAAAAAGAATGATTGATCCACGCCTCAGCTCAAGCTCCTCATATTTTCGGTGACATCTTTCTACTTTTCATCTTCATCTTTAATTAATTGTTTTTTGCTATTCTTTTGTCTATTTTCATTTCTATTTATTTTTTACGAGGAACAACAAGATATGCAAGCATAAGCAGGTTTTAGTATAAATGACCTTTATTCTCCCTGATCCCAGCGAGCGCCTTCTTTCTTTCCCCAAATGCTGTCATACGTTTAATTAACCCTGTTGTTTGGCAGGTTCCTAACTGGTTGACATATGATTTTCCTCCAGCTATTAAGGCCAAAGTGAATCGCCTCCGGGGAGGTGAATGGCATGGGCAGGCACAGAAGTGGTTTATTTCTTCTTGCGTTCTTTTCTTTTTCTGTAGAGAAGTACATTTGTGGCCTAGATTTGGTTTTGTTTATATTTGCATTCACCGCACTAAGAGAGTAGCTTGTAAAAATCATTTGACAGCTATAACTAGAGACATAAAGGGCGAAGAATCATTAGCAGCTATGGAGATTATGACTAGATATTGAAAGCAGGCAGGCTTCATGTGTGTGTTTGTAGTTAGGGGTATAAAATGCTTTTCGTTAAACTCGAGAATAGTTCTTTAGTTTTGATACAAATCCCTTGATGGATTACTAATGAGCTTCAAAATACCATATCAATCTGCATTTTAATACAAGCTTTTTAGGTCTTTCATTATCTTTGTGATATATGTATGCCTTCCTCGGCATGTTTATTCCTATAAAGTGATGGTTTATAGCTGATGCTAGTATCTTTTAGGAAGCATAAACCAAACCTTTTCCGCTAAGAACCAAAATTATATCCTTGCTCTAATACTAGAGGTCAAACACTCCAAATTGATGGATGAGTTATTAAAAAAGCACTTAAGAAGCAAGAAAGACTTGATTCTAATGAATATCATATAATTTTTAACTTTTGAACAACTTATGTTCTATAATTATCAAGGTCCATCTATGAAATACTGATGAAGCTTACTCTTGGCTTTTGAAACAATTAATAAATAGTTACTCTTTTTTGTTGTCTAATTTCACTAAAATACTGATGAAGATGTATAAATTTATTCTGTTTTTATCTAGTTTATGGCCTAACAAGACATTGGAACAAATTTACAGGTTTCTTAATTATGCGATTAACAAATGATGAAAGTGAGATCAATTTGGCAACTGGGGAAGTAGATCAAGAATTTGCTGAGTGGAAATGGACAAACCCTGAAGAAGTTATAGAATAGGTAATTTGCCAAGCCTTTACTATGATTAATTTTCTTTGATTTGCATTATATGAAAAACTTTAAGATATTATATAAGAAAAATTGTGACAGGCAGTGGACTACAAGAGGCTAACATATGAGGACATTCAGGCCCTACTTGGATGATGGTAAAGCTGCAAAATGTAAATCGACAAAATGGTAAATGTCTTGGCCTGCTCTTGTCGGTCTGTCCTTGTCTTTACAAGTAGAAATTGAATTTGAACTTAGTAGATTTTGTCCTCTGTAAATGGATGTGGCAGTTAGAAGTTAAAATTACCAATTTAGACTATTGTTCATTTGTGATTAAAAAAAAAAAAAAAAAACCTTGTGCCAAAGTATCTAATTTTTGAAAAAAAAAATTGAAAAACAGTGGGGAAAGTTGCGTGTTCTGGAATTTGGATTGAGCATCTTTGTTTAGATGATGAGATATGACTCTTACCATGTGCCAACAAACAAAAAGAACTGTCAATTTTCTGTTTGTAATTAGCTAGTTGTGAGATAACCATTTTGCTTGCCTATTCAATTGTTCAGTGGTTGGAGTATATGATATTTATCTAGAATGCTGCAAAACTTAGAATAATGAAGGCGCCTTATTTCTGCTGCTTGCAAATTGCAGGTAGATGAAACAATGATCTTGTATCCGAGGCACCATTTTGCTTGCCTAAGATCTTCTAATCATATTGCCTGTCAATTTTCTCCTTGCCAATGTGGATTTTTGGTATATTTTGAATGAAAATGAAATTCGTTCCATTTCCATACATACGATGTGAATCTACCTTAAAATCTTTACGTTTTTGAAATTCATGTTTTGTTCAATAAAAAAATA